GAAGTTCCTCCAGTTCTTCAACAAATAATTTGAATTTCCTCAACTATTTCAATATATATATATATATATATATATATATATATATATATATATATATATATAATATTAGTGGTAAATACACACACACACACACACACACACACACACACACATATATATATATAGATAGATAGATAGATAGATAGATAGATAGATAGATAGATAATATTAGTGGTAAAATACACATACATATTCTTTTTTGAATTTGTAGGTCTGATGAATTGGATCGTATTTACGATTCCAATGGAATAAATTATGACCATGCAATATTAGTGTTTTAAGCCATTTTATATATATATATATATATATATATATATATATATATATATATATATATATATATATATATATATATATATATATATATATATATCCGGAGTTGTTTTTTTTTTTTTTTCTGTTTTCTTTTTGAATTTGTAGGTCTGATGAATTGGATCGTATTTACGATTCCAATGGAATAAATTATGACCATGGAATATTAGTGTTTAAGCCTTTTTATTATATCCTTACTCTGTCCTGGACATTGAGTTCTACCTGGATTCTTCCTCTTGGAATTTTTATTCAAAAAATATAGATGTATGGGTATTTATATATTTTGCATATGTATGTATATTTACCACTGATATTATCTATCTATCTATCTATCTATATATCTATCTATTTATCTATCTATCTATATATATATATATATATATATATATATATATATATGAGGTTCATTACAGAAGTTAGCACAGACAAACATTTATTAATTTCAAAGAAGTTCAAAACTCTAATCTTCAAAGTAGGATGCTCTGACATCAATCCAATTTGTGTAGCGTTTTAGTCACTTCGTAAAGACCTTCATCGATGTTATTCAAATTGAAGGTTTCGAGGAACCTTGTCAGAGTCTGCTTCTTCACAATGTTTTCGAAACGACTGCCCCTGTCGTTCTTGTTCAGCTTGGGAAACAACAAAAAGCAACGGTCTGAACAGTAAGAATTCTGTTCTTATTCTCTTTACAGACGATATTCATCTAGAAAATAGCAAATTTTCTCAAACAGTTCTAATTTTCTACCGTTCTACTCCCTCACACATCTTTCAATGTCTCTAAGCACGTCTTTACTGTCCTTTAACCTCTTGTGCCAGCCAAAAACAGATGTTCGGTTCATACAAGTTAATCCATAAGAAATCTGGAGTATTTCATAAGTTTTTGTAGCGTTCTTTTCTCAGTTTGACAGAAAACAACATTGCATAGCATACTTAGAAATTGTCTTCATGTCTGACTGCATTCTGCAAGCTAGTCAGCTGTGACAAGCAGTCTTTAGGAGGGTATGTTCAAAGCGTGGTTACGGCCGCCTCCTTCCATCTGGAATAACAAAAGTTGGCAGGTCAGCTTATTAGATGCGTAGTAATGATATACTAAAATTGCAACAATCTAGGACAGTTAAAACTGTCTGTTAAAAAGTCTCAAAACTTCAAGAATGTACCTTATATATATATATATATATATATATATATATATATATATATATATATATATATATATATATATATATAATTGGCGTAATCCATGTGGAACGTCGATGTATTACACCAATTTAATATTGGCGTAGATTTAAAATTTGGAATATTTTTTTCCAACAGTAAAGAGAAAATACATAAAGAAGCTGGAAGATGGCGCATTGGCTGCATCTACAGACACCTTACCTTCCTCCATTGTTACAGAAAAACAAAAAGGTTGCATTATCTTGATCTATTTCTGGTGTTCACTGTGTTACTGGCAATAACGTTCCTGCCTCAAAACCATGTCTGTCTCCAGAGCCATATATATATATATATATATATATATATATATATATATATATATATATATGTGTGTGTGTGTGTGTAATCATATTTGGTGCATACACATCGTCTTTTAATTTAAATACCCAGACAAGAACTTATGGATATGAAAACAAAAGTTGTTTTTTAATACATTAAAAAGAACAGACTAATTTGAATATTTCAATGCGTAACATAACCCAGGGATTCTTCTGTATACTATGTCCTGAAAGGACATGGCTGTACGTGGCTCTCTGCTACTTCCATTTTTTTGTTGTTCAAGATAACTCTTTGTTCATCACCTTTTTTTCTCTGCTGTCCATCCATTACTGAGTCATTAGCCATTATTTATTCCTACTGCTTCTTTTAATTTCAATATGCTAAAAGTCTTCGATTTTCGATGCCTTCCGCCAATTTTCAGCTATCCCTTTCAGATTAATTGCAATATTCCTTGAGGGTTTCTATTCTCAAGACCTATTTATTTAACACCTCAATTTGACTGTCAGTATAGGGAAACTGTTACTATTATCGTTACCGATAGAACGACGTCGCAAACGTTTCAAATCTCTTCATCATATGTGGTAAATAGTTCCACGGTCACCGCCATATAGAATTTAAAACATTACATAACAGTCAAACTCGCTTTTCTTCTTTCGATTCCTTAACATTTTACTTAATTTCTTCAATTTGTCTTTCACTATTTCTGCGCCACACGTTCCATTGTCTGTTAGCACAATAGCCGTAAATTTCCGCACATGTTTGATTTAGATATCCCCGTTGTGTAACGTGGCATTTAGACTGTCTTTTACCAATAACCATGTATTATCTCTTTTTACATTTAATAGTTATTCATTATTCATACTTTCTTCTACTGCTTTGTCTAAGAGGTAGATATTTACTTGACCCCCCCCCCACTGAGTCAGGTTGTGACACAAGGTCAGTTTTTAACGTGGGGACCCGAATGTTTTCACTCGGGCCGCTGGTCCAAGCTGGTCTTAGCTGGTCATAGATTGTCCAAGCTGGTCAGAGCTGGTCTAAGCTAGTCATAGCTGGTCCAGGCCGGAGCCGATCCAAGATAGTCCTAGCCGTGATACCACCAGACCAGGGACGAACCTTGTGCCAGGTAAGTTTATTTACTTGACCCTCCACTGAGTCAGGTTGTGACACAAGGTCAGTTTTTAACGTGGGGACCCGAATGTTTTCACTCGGGCCGCTGGTCCAAGCTGTTCTTAGCTGGTCATAATTTGTCCAAGCTGGTCAGAGCTAGTCATAGCTGGTCTTAGCTTGTCCTAGCTGGCCTAGGCCGGAGCCGATCCAAGATAGTCCTAGCTGTGATACCACCAGACCAGGGACGAGCATTGTGTCAGGTAAGTATGCTTTGTCTAAGAGGTATTTTGGTTTTCATTCTACTTTATCATGAGGGAAAATAAGAATAACAATTTTGGTGCCATAGGACTTTTAGTCAATCGTAATACTGCGAGCAAAGTTGAAAGTTTCCAATGTACAGAGTGTTTCAAAAGTCACGCAACAATTGGCAGAAAACGTACACTTATGAAATAGCAGCCATGGAAAATTTGCATGATATCATCTTCCATAATTCGACCAATAAAATTTTATAGTAATATATTGCTACATACAGAAATATGATTCCATTTGGTAAATAAATATAAAATTTACAAGGTTATCAATAATAATGCGACTTTTGGAACACATTGTACATCGAAGAATGTAGCTTCGATAATAACAAGATTATTAATGATCAGTATAATCGACTGGGCCATTGTCTTTTAGGGTTACTGGAAATTAAAAAAAAAAAAATTTCGAATTTGGATAACAAACCTGAAATATCAAAATAAATCCTGATAGCAGTTCAGCGGCATTTTCTAACTTTATGATAAATTGTTGAATTAATTTTTCTTTGCTCGCAAAATATTAATTTTTTCGAAACCAGTTATTTAATGATGATCTATGATCGAAGGAGTTATTTGCCACATTTCATTCTGTTTACTTTAGAAGATGAAAATATGGATTATTATAGTTTTTTTTAAATATTCACCAAATCCAAGGCCCAAATGCACACATTATAGCAATCGCACAAAATAGCATATCTCGATGATCTGTCTGAATAGAACAGCCTTCTTAACCGTGGAATAAAAAGGCAATGACGATGCTTCAACACTTTCTACGTGACGAGTCATAACTCTAAAACTATGAACAGTTTTATGGACGTAAAGGATGACAATTTTCCGTGGAACTAGCAATGAGCTTGCGAGATTTCGTCTATAGGAAATAGGTTATAGGGGGGAAAATAATTCATTACCTACTAATCCGGATAAACGCCTCCGAAATGTGTCAAGGCCAGAAAGTGAGGTTTCGGCAGCTCTAGACGAGATAATAACTTAGCCTATTGGAAAATAAGGTGGAAATTAATCCACGATTGTTCCCGTACAATTATGACATTATATTCATTTGTCAAACATAGATAAGTTAAAATCACCTATTATCAACCCAAATAACATTCAGGATTCTCTTTTATTCTCACTCAGCATTTTTAGCAATATCCGGTACTGCGTGTTGTGCTTTGAATATGGAAAAAAATTACAGTATTCAGAGTTAGTAAAAAATAGGCATATTAGTATAATCTAATAATATGTTTGCATAAGTACATTATGAGTAATTTTACTAAATAAATACATTACAATTTACCTTACTAAAATTCATTTCTATCTTAAACTTTTATGTATTTGAATTTTAAAATCTTTCAATAGATCTCTTACATGAATACATTTTAGATTATTTTTACATTTTTACTTAAAAATGCTCTGAAATAAAGAAAGTAATGGCTTATTAAGGAACCAAGAAACAAGTCAAACTTTATTGATAGAATATAGAGTTATTATGGTTTGGTTAATTCCTTTTCTACGGTTTATCAAGCTTTTGCTGGTTATTTAAAGCCAGAAAATATTTTTAGATTGTAAGAAATTTTTTTTGAGATAATAACGGTTTAGTGCTCTGAAATTTATTAATTAACCCATAGCTGGTGGGAGAAGGGCATTTGCGTGTAAGTGAATATAGCGAACCCAGAGGGAATGAGAACTCAGCTTACCGATTAACAACTTCAAGCCATTATTTATCACACGAATCGAATATCCGAGCTTACAGCACCTGGTGTTCCCAAGCGGTCACCCATCTAGGTACTGACCAGGTTCGACGTTGCTTAACATTGATCGTACGGAAACCGGTGTTTCAACGTGACGTGTTTGTAAGCCAAGTTATTATGATAAAGAGCTAAACGTTGTGTAGTCAAGAAGTTGTGGAGGGCCATAATTACCCACGCCTTAAAAGGCGAAAAAAAATTTGAATGAGTCAAAATTCAGAGGAAAATATAGACTGACGTATAAATATATTCTTAACTCTATTCGATCTGACGTGGGAAAACCAGCATGTTCAATGAGTAATACACACCCCAAAAGTTCTAATTTTGGTTCCTGCTATAGCAGGAATTTGGTCGAAAATTAAGTCGGAAAATGTTGATAACCCGCGGAGACGACGTGATTGTGTTAAGTGGCTGCTGTAAACAAAAAAGGTTCGTGTTTGATTTCAGAGGTAATGATCGAACAGTTTGATCCGCCATCATTCTGTTAGCGTTCTTGCTTTATATAGATGCTGTTGGTCACCGTGACTTTTGCTAACATCCTATTCCAGTGAGAGATTTCCTACAGAGACGGAATCAATTACCAGCAGTCTATAATTTAAGGAGAATATTCACTGCTAAACGTCTGTTAACCGAATAAAGTACCAGTGGATCTTATCGTCGGCCTGATCTTCCACATTCGCTGTTAAATTGCACTCTAAATTAAAGAGTTCAACAATAAAGTTCCCTTTGATGATGACTCGACTGCACGAGAACTTTTAGTAATGGGGGAAAAATAATAGAATGAAACACGTTCTCTAGAAATTGAAGCGAGTTATTTGAACAGAAACCAAATGGAAGTAAGTGAAATTACTTTAGTTTTTCTGATTTTTTTTGTGCACAATGCTTGCAAACTTTTTACTACAAAACAATGTTCTAAATTTTCGAACGCTGATTTTTCAAGTCTTACTATTCTAATCTGAAATTTTAGTCAACTGGTTGTCAGACGAGAGGCGCTTTGCTTTCAGATAATGGATTTCTAATCAAAGAGAAGGAATTTTATTCGGGGTAAGAAACTAGGGAGAAATTTCGGTTTTATCTCTCTTATATGCAATGGTAAAGGAGAAATTAGCCATTACTATAAAGGAAATATTCGACTTTAATTGATCGATAATTTAGCATTACACTTGGTTGAGATTTATAAAATCATTTTTCTTGAAATTTTTTAAGGAATCTTCTCAGGTTTACTAATATTGATAGGGGTTTTCTTCTAAACTTTTACTCTATGTGGCTATAAAAAAATAGCATCTTGATTATATGTGGTACTTATATTTTTTTGTTGTTTAAACTATGTAAGTATTCAGTTTTTGTTATTTGGTAAGACTCTTTGGTTCTGATATTTTAGCGCCAGTCAGTAAGGTTTGATGTAATTTCTTTTTCTTGAAGACCTGAAAGAATCTATTTGATTGAAGCTACTATTTAATAAAATATGTAGATAATAAAATAACTTAGGATCACGTGAGAATCAATACCACCAGAAAATTTGGGAAGGGCTTTATAGCGTACGAACGTGCACCACTCTCGCCATTATATATATATATATATATATATATATATATATATATATATATATATATATATATGTGTGTGTGTGTGTAATAACTGGCCACTCGTATTCAATGATATCCGTCTACTAGGGCGGCTAGCCAATCCCTATTGCTGACGTCCACTCAGGCACATTTATGTTTGTTCAACACCCACAGTGACCACCTGTGCTTTATGCTGCAACTATGCTGAGTAGACCTTAGTTACAGTTTCTGGGAGAGAGTGTTTTATCTAGCGTGATCAACAAGGCCAGCACGCTCAAGCCCTCCGTCACGATGACTTGCAACTTCGTGCTAGTACAGCTATCGATGGCCTCTATTGGTTCCATCTAACAAATTTCACTCAAAAGGCTTGCGTCAACCCGTGGCACGGATTTTCTTCCAAAAGTGCAGCACGCTGGGATCGTTCCCTCCAGATAGGTAGCATCTGGAAGTCTCATTCCTGTCAAATGGACCATGGTGTTTATTTTATATATATATATATATATATATATATATATATATATATATATATATATAACATGTATCACTTTTTTATAGAGATTCTTGTATGTTTAAGTGGGCTAACGATCGTAAGACATACTTATAAATACAAATATCTTCAGAAACCTACATTCACATGAAATTATCTACAATTGTAATACACGTGTCTGACCACTGAGAACTGACCCAAACATAACAAAAAATACCAGTGTTTCTGGCTTTTTGCCTGTTTTTCTCTCTATCTCTGACGAAGGAAATCATTATTATTTTTTTAATTGTAGCTGTGCCGAAATGAAATTGCTTTTATGCTAAGGAATTTCGTTTATCTGATTTGATAAGAAACTGTTGGTGTTATTTCATAATTCTTGAAAGCACCAATCGAACCTCAGTACTAGAACTAGACAATTCGATTTGTAATACAATCAGCAATCATAGATTATTGACCAGGATTTGTAACCTGTATCGACGCGTACTGTTCATACCGTCAAGTATATCGTATTCTTCTGCCGAGCTGCATATTCTCATAGTGTCATCTCGTGTTCGGAACAAATGAAGAGAAAAACAATTAAACATTAGAACAAACCGAATGTTTCACCGAAAAATATTGGGAAAATCACATTCATCATCTTTTTTTATATATTTAAATTGTCGAAACCCCAAACTCGTATTTAACATGTAGATATGCATATGAAGTTAGGCCTCTATCTATTTATTTAGCCATAATATAACCTTTTCATCACTTCCTGAATGTCTTTACATATACATAACCGCAAGAAGGGATGAAAAATATGAGTTATACTGGGGCCACAAAAAAAGACGAGTCAAAAGGACGGTAATCCTTAATATATTTTCTATTCTAAGTCTTCTTTGACTAGCACCTTTATTTCACCATTATGTCCATCGCACTTATTAACCTCTGAAAGGGATCACTTCATATCTACTAATGTAGAAACTAAATCGATTAATACATACCTTATTTTCATTCATTTTCTCTGCATGCATCTATATTGTTACATACGTTTTTTTTTTCTGCGTACATTTTTATGTTTGGTCCTTATTTTCGCTGTTCGGCCATGTGTTTTTCTGAATAGCCCTTTGCAAACCAAAATTGTTTACATAGTGCTAACTGCTCTTACATTCAAAGTATTTATCTTGTATAGCTATGTAATTTGTGATTGGATGGAGCCATGACTGAAAACATTCTTGGAAGGTGCTTTTCGGTATACCTTTCAGTAATATGGTCGACTGTTGCTGCATATGTTGGGATACATTTGTTCTGTCCCAGTATTTTTTTTTTCATTTTAGAAATCACCAAAGATCACAGTGGATTAAGTGTGGTGAATACGATAGATAATCCATTTTTGTAATGGATTTTTCCTCATGAATTCCTCCATTCAGTATGTGTTTTACAGAAGTTGTTTCATCACAGTGTTGCTATGGCCATCACAATCCCCGGATCTAAATTCCATTAGGTGGTTTAAGGACTATATTGAGAAAAGGTGTACTCCATACAAATAGCATCACATGTTTAGAGGCAAGAAGAAGAATGAAAATATAAAAGTCAAGATAGTATAAAGGAAGAAAAAGAAAGGAAAAGAAAGAGACAAACTGATTGAAAGAGAAAAACAGTGAGTGAGGGAGATACAAAATATTGAAAGACGGGAAGGAAGAAAAAGTAGGAAAAACAGTAAAAGTAAAACATAGTAAGAGTATAATGGAATGGAATAAATAAATGATATAGATTACAAAGAAAAAAAAAAGGAAAGAAAGAATAAAAGTAAAAAGATAGAAATAAACGTGGCGAGTAAGAAATTTGAAGAAGAAAGTACAAAGTTTTTTGGTTGATTTATTTTTTACGGCTTATCGACCTGTTTGTCGGTTATTTACAGCCAGAAAATATCTTTAGATTGTAACAATTTTTTTTTCTAAGATTTTAATGATTAACTGAGAAAAGTTTTCCTAATCAATCTATAGATGGGGGAGGAAAAGATGGGTTCATACCTTTCCCTCGGGTATTTGCGCGTAAGTGAATATGACAAACCCGACTGGAATTGGAACTCTCCTGTATACAATTCCGAGCCGTTATCCATTCCCCTACATCCACGCTTACAGCACCTGGTATTCTCAAACGCTTATCCATCTAGGTACAGACCAGGTTCGTCGTTTATTTAGCTTCAGTGATAGGACGAGAACCGGGAAAGTACAAAGAATTGAAGTAAAAAAAGAAAAAAAAAAAACAATGCGATTTTTTAAAGAAGAAAAAAGCTGGCAAAAAAGAATGAAGTTTGAAAGAAGAAAGAAAAGACGTTTGATTAAACGAAATAAATTTAAAAGAAAAAGGCGAGAAAAGAGATTTGAAAGAGAAAACGGAGCGACAAAATTAACAAAAAGAGAGAAGTTTGGGAAATCGAAGCGATTTTACTAACTCGATAGAAAAGCTGTCAAAAAGAAAGTACAGTGTAACCCGGATATAAGAGAAACCCGGATATAAGAGAAACCCGGATATAAGAGAAACCCGGATATAAGAGAAACCCGGATATAAGAGAAACCCGGATATAAGAGAGATTTTCTCTGGTCCCAAAGTGTTCCCATACTTACCTAAACAAAATAGACCAAACCCGGGTATAAGAGAAACCCGGATATAAGAGACTTCTCCGTTCCCGACAACTCTCTTATATCCGGGTTACACTTTAGTCTAAAAGAATGAAGCAAAACATCTGCCCCCCCACCCCGTACCCCCACCAAAAAAAACAAAAAACTATTTGACAAAACGGGAAAAGGAAAAAAGGACGGAAAAAGGAAAGGAAAATGAAAAAAAAAAGAAGATTTATAAGAAGAAGCAAAGAAGGGGGCGAGTTGAATTAATCTCATTTTACATATAAAAATATTTGCGATTCGTGTATTTGACTGAATGCACAAAAGAACCAATTTGCCCGGCGAAATAAAAAAAAATGTTTTTGACAAATATTTATTAACTGATATGGTAGAAAGGATCGAACTCACACGTATTTGATCTAAAGAAACAAATTTG